TGAGGCAAGTGCTGTACCACTAAGCCACAACCCCAGCCCTACATATGTATTCTTTTTTAAAAAAATATTTTTTAGATGTTTATGGACCTTTATTTTATTCATTCATTTATATGTGGTACTGAGACTGGAACCCAGTGCCTCACACATGCTAGGTAAACGCTCTGCCACTGAGCCCCAGCCACAGCCCTAAATATGTATTCTTTACAATCTATTTTTATCTCTTTGTTCTTCACATCTGTCCTTCAAGGGAGGTGGCACAGCAGGCCCATCTTAGAGATGCGGACACAAGACGGCACCTCAGTAGTAGTGACATTTGGGTTAGATCCTAATCAAAGCAAGTGGTTCACTGCGGTGCCCATCACACCCTGTTCCTGTAAGGAGGGAGCTCAACCATTTAGAAAGAGTGAACTCTTGTTGTCCCTCTGAGTTTTTCTTTCAGCAGTTGAACCCCATCCCCAAATATGTGGAAACCAGGAGAGGCTTCCTGATCTGTCCCAAGGACGTGGCCCTGCTTTTCTCCTCCACCCGCAGCTCTCCTTAGGCAGTTGGGGCACCCTTAATTCAGCCATTTCACCCACACTTGGCTCTCCCCCCATGTGAGGCAAGCATGATGAGATTCCTGCAGCTTACCCTCCCAAGAGGAATGAATCCCAGTGTCCTTGTCACTACCATTTGCCTCAGTAGGAAAGAACCAGAATCCTGGGCTGGAGTTAGTTGCTAATGGGCTCTACAGATTGACTGTCTTATCTTTGGTTTTAGAATCTCACCTGAAAACCGTGTACAGTTTCCCTAACAGTTCCCCTTTACACACCATTCTTCCTGTGGGTGGGTTTTGACCAACCTCTCTTATTTGCCTCTGATGTACCTTAGAGAACAGTTTCTAGACAGGTTCTTGGAACTTCAGAATAGATCTGGAAGGCTTAATGAAAATCCTAGCTGGACACGATGGCCCCAGCCTTATATCCCAGTTACTCAGAGGTTGAGGCAGGAGGATCAAGGTCAGCCTCAGCAGCTTAGTGAGGTCCTAAGCAATTTAGTGAGACCCTGTTTCAAAGTAAAATATAAAAAGAGGTGAGCTGGCAATGTGGCTCAGTGGCAAAAGCATTCCTGGATTCAGTCCCCAATACCACCCCCTCCAAAAAAAATTTGAATACTGCTGGGATTCAGACAAAAAATGATATGAAATGGTATTTCTAGTTAGGTTGATCCATCTGCACTTTGACTGGTTTCTACTGAGATGATTCTCTAAAATCAGTATAAAGTAAAGTTACTGAAAGATTTTAGTAGTTAATTTAACTTTCTAACCTATAACCTTGTAGAGGGGAAAAAAACTATATATTATGAATTTCTGGAGAGGACCTTCATTCTAGACATCCACACAGGAGTTTAAGCAAAGCACAGGCATGGGAATGATTGGGAGAGTTCTCTCTTTCTCCCACATCATCATGCATAGATTTTTTTTTCTGATAGATGAGAGATCCTACTAATAGTAAGTTGCCCCAAATTCTCCCGAATGTTAAAGTTGAATAAAAGTCTCCTGCTCGACAGCATCTGGGTAGAGAAAAAGGCCAGAAGAGCATCACTAGGTGTGCACCATGGGTCTGCGCTCTGAAATAAGGGACAAACAGGAATGTGTCTGTTATGATCATGTGAGGCAGGTGCTGTGAGTAACTACGGGCCCCATTTCTCATTAGCCTTCACTAAGGCTGGGTGGCAGCCGGTGATCGCCTCGGTGTTGATGGAGTGTTTGTGCAGCTCAGGAGCCAGGCTCTGCCTCTCTCAACTAGCGTCTCATGATTCCTTTCTCTCTGGATCTCATGATGCCGTCCAGGAGGAGGTGCTGAAGTGATTAATGAGCAAGGCATAAAGACAACTGTGGCCCAAAGCAACAGCTGTGTCGCACCAGCCACTGAATAATTAGACAAGTGAGGCAATATGGGGTCTCAATGGGTGGGGACTTGGGTGCAGAAAGTGCCAGTCTCTTCTCATTTGAATCAAGGTGTCAGGCCGTACTTGTTTCCACTTGGACTGTTCCTTTAGCTTTCTGTGTCCCATTCCTTCAGGTATGCCTCTTGGGAGTGACATAGTGACTGTCCCCTTTACCCTGAAAGCTGGGGGTGCTGGCTGTGCCTGTGAATAGCTGCCTGAACCTTCTATGTAGAACAGCGGGAGGGGCTGGGTAGAAATTGATGTTGCCAAAAACTTAATAATGTTTGTAACAAAAGCAAGGACTCCTGGCAAGAAATCCGAGGGCCATTCTTGATCCTAAGTGGTATCTCCTAAGCACTTTAATTACAGAGGATTAAGCAGGAAGTAGAGTGCTGGACTAAAGAAATAATGATACAGAAGAGGTGAAGCAGAAAAACCCAATTTTCTTCATTTAAGAGAGGAAAAAAAAATCTCCATTTATTTAAATGAATTGCAAAGAAAATAATAGAGTAGGGCATGTCTCCTAGCCCCAAGTTCAGTGGAGTTTTAAAGAACTGTGTATCTCTGCCCAGACCCGAGGCCAAAACCTTCTGCCCATCTGTAGAAAATGAACTACAGGCTTGGAGCTTCATTAAGATGCAGGAGCGCTCCTCTTGGACAAATGGCTCACTAATTCAGCCCCTTCTCTCCTGCTTCTCCTCCTGGGCTCCTGCCTGGCTTTGCTCGTATTTTACATTCAGCACCTCTGGTTACCTAGATATGGCATGCAAAATTGTGAAATAGAAAAGCAGTGGGCCATGTGGCTCCATCAGTTCTGCCTGGTTTCTCAACATCCATGACCTCTGCTGTTCAGAGCTGGGCAAGAGGAGTTGCCTACGGAGGCCCCAGTTACCTACCAAAAGTTGCAGTGAGAAAAGATGCTCATAGCACACCTGCTGTGTAACTGCGGCAAATCTACAGAAAGGAACTGAAATCAGACTATAATGACTCCTGGAAAATAAGGAAATTACCAGAATGGAATTCAGATAAATGCTGTGGTTATTATCCAATATGTAATGGTGGTGGGATTCAAGGGTGCTTTCCTAGGAATAGCCATATCAGTCTCGGTGCCTAATAATGAGTCCTGGCTGCAGTGATCCTCCATGGTGTCCTATGTGTGACTCATGGTACCCAACATCCAGGGCGAGGAGTTTGTTTTCAGATATTATCATGAATACCATTATTGGGAAACCATGAGATGTCATGATCCAGAGAGAGGCAATGAAGGTGGAGGAAGGAGGAACAAGAGTTCAACTACCATGTGCTCACAACTACGACTATGTTCAGCACCTCCCATCAATCCATTGAATTCTCACACCTGTCCCACAAAACAGACGTTGTTATTCCTGTCATATAGTTGAGAAAACTGAGGCTTTGAGAACTTGACATGATGGAAAGAAGTATGGGCTTTGGAGATGGATCAGAGCCCCACCTATCACCCACCATGTTCAGTGATCTGGGACAAACCATGTAACATCTGTTTTCTACTCTGTAAAATCCTGACAAGTCTGGATCTATGCACTGGATTACTGGGATGATTCAATGAGATAATGTTGATAATAGCACAGTCCTGGCACACAATTGACCCTCAGAAAATGGCAGGTATTCTTCTACAATCTTGCAGAAACTAGATGTGAACCCTAAGAGGTCAGCATCTTCCCCAATTTGGGCTTCTTCCACTGTAATGCCTGACTTCCAGAGCCACACTGAAAGACAACAATTAATTTATAAAGACAAATTTAGCTGGGGCATAGTGCTAGACCTGTAATGGCCCAGTGCTCTTGAAATTCTTTATGTTTCAGCCTTGTACACTGCAAATTAGTCCCCATGCTTCAGCAGATGAGCTGAGATGGACCTCACTCCATGTGCACAATATATATTATTCTCTGAATATTTCTATATGTTTTAGGTATTTTATTTAAAAATGTACAAACCCCCTCCCCAAAAATTGTGTGATGGAGAATTCATCACACCTAGAAACTGATTATATATGAAGGAAAGAGTTTAGAAACAATCCTTGTTCATACCTTCACAATGTTCCAAATTATAATACTGAGATCATCTGTCTACATCTGTTACTCTAGGCATTACTTGTCTTTGCATTTCTCATGAGTGGCACAGTGCCTGGCACATAGTAGTTACTCAAAGAAAATGGACTGAAATAGAAACTCAGTAGTTACTCAAAGAAAATGGACTGAAATAGAAACTCAGTAACAAACAGCTATTAAGGGAACAAATTCCATTTCCCAGGCATGTCACCTCCAGATCTGCTTGTGACTTCAGCTTCATTTCTGCATTTCCATGAGCACCACACTCAGCCATGAGATGGGGCTGGGTTGGTCAGGAGCACTAGAGATTCTCATGTTCAATGACTTGGAACATGGGTTAAAGGGCACCACTTCCTGTTTCCTACAGAGATGCGCTTTCATTCCCTGAAATGACAACTTCTCTGTACTCACTTAATGGGATTCCCAAATAACATGTTGCAAACCAATCTTTTATCACTGTTGCCCCCTTGGAACACATTTCAAATGCTGGCCATTAAAAACAGGCCATTTCCCAGGCCTTTAATGATGACACTAATAACTGTGGATTTTTGTCTCCCAGAGTCCTGATGAGCCAAGCTGGGGAGTAAATTATAGAGCTAACTTTTATGTGCATGGTTTATTGATCTGTGAGCTTCAAGGGAACTACACCAGCCCCTATAGCTTGACAGTCCAGATTAGCTTTTCATCTATGTAATTGGGCCACTAGGGCACAGTTAATTTTTAATTTAAATTAATAGGAAGACAAAGAACAGGATGTGCCATCTCTGTATTAAAGTAATGGACATATCAAAATATTCTACCTGGTAATTATAAATAAATCAGCTTTCCCATGACCCAGTGAGGATTAAGTTGCTAATTCATTGTGCAGTTCATCATAATGTATCATGAAAAAGTTCAATGCTGTCATGAATATTTATATCGCATGGGTATATAAGGATCCAGCTATCTTAATTCATGTTGCTTCCCAACTTCCTTTCTTAATAGGTGAAAGTCATGCTTCGCATTTGCTCCACGTTGGCTCGTGATACCTCAGAATCCAGCTCTTTCTTAAAGGTGGACCCTCGGAAGAAGCAGGTCACCTTGTATGATCCCTTGACTTGTGGAGGTCAAAATGCCTTCCAAAAGAGAAGCAACCAGGTCCCTCCTAAGATGTTTGCCTTTGATGCAGTTTTTCCACAAGATGCTTCACAAGTGAGTATAAACCCCTCTGGGGATGGACACTTATTTACCAGAACCTGTAAGCTGAGAAGGTGTCATCCAGAATACTTGATAGACCATTTCCTCCATCCACTTAGTGACTCCTAGAAATCATTCTGAGATCCCTTGAAGAGTTCATTCCTTCTGAGTTATTGGGTATCAATGTTTGACATACAGATGCAAGAAGAGAACAGCAGGAATTAGAAGTTATAGGAACAAACACCCCAAGGAGCTGGTAACTGGTCCAGTAGGACTCTAATTCTGCCTGGGCTTCTAGGTATGGGCATGTAAGAAGGGAGAAAGTGTTCAAGGGAGCTGGGTTAAAATCAGGTAGTGTCCTAGGACCCTACAATATCAAAATATCCATTGATATTGAAGGCAGGTCTGTAGTCCTAATAAGGAACTAGAGTGCTAGACAGGGAAACTGAGGCTAACATGCATCCTGCCACCTGGATCCGTGGAGTAGTGGGTAATGAAAGAGGCTCAGCGATAGCGGCTATGTCAATTCACTGATGCTGCATTTCAACCCACTATTCAGTGCTAAAACAACAAACATTTATTATGTTGTTCAGGACCATTTGGGCAATTCCGCAGCTAGCTTGACTCTCTTGTGATAAGCTGTGGGTTGGATAGGCAGCTCTGAGGATCTTGGCTGGATGCTATCACATGTTTGGGGTTGGCTGGCATTTCGGCTGGTCTACAGTAGCCCTGGCAGGGTTAACAGGTCTCTCTTCCATGTTGTCTTTCATTGTCCAGCAGGCTAGCTTGGACTTGTTCTCATGGCAGTGTCCAGGTCTCAACTATGCAGGCCTCTTTAAGGCCTGTGTCCACAGTTGATGCAACATCATTTCTGTAGCCTCCTATTGGTCCAAATTAGTGGGATGGGGATGAGACTTCTCTTTACTGGATGAGCTGCAAAGTCACATTTCAAAGAGCCTGCACACAGGTTGAGATGGAGAACTGGGGCCAGTTTTTGCAATCACAAAAATTTGGTGGTTGGGGTGGGGGGGTCATAAAGCTAAGATTTTTGGACCATAGGCAACCAAGGAATTGCAGACCCTATCAGATGGTGCAAATGAAGCTTCTAGTCAACATCTGTTCTTACTGGGATTATCTCCTGGAATGTGAATGTGGACCTCTAAGTTGCACCCAAGAGTGACACTTTGAGGGACTGGATTGGAAAGGTGACATGAGTGTGGGACTGACCACTTGCAGAAATCAATAAATAACCCAGGACTGGGATATAGCTTAGCTGGGGACTAGCACGTACAAGGCCCTGGGTTCAACTCCCAGTGCCAAAAATAAGTATACACACATACATACCTACATCAACCAGGTTATTAAGTGTATGGTGGCCTACTTGCTTACACTGTGGCATCAAGACCCGTGTATCTTTCTGATAAATATTTAGTACTTTCCAAGATTTACACAACTCTGCATAGTATGGTAATAGCCTACTGCTGAACTGGAGAACAACACCAGTAGTTACAATTACAGCCTGTTAATTTCCTCTATAATCTGAGTATAGGAAGTAATGATGTTCACACATGTTCCTGTATTACACCATAAGCACATAGGGCACATTATGGGCTTTATCCGTTAAGAAGCTGAGCATGGGGATGGGATTGTGATTCAGTGGTAGAGTGCTAGCCTAGCAGGTGCAAGGCCCTGGGTTCAATCCTCAGCACCACATTAAAAAAAAATTAAATAAAGGTATCGTGTCCAAATACAATTTAAAAAAAAAAAAAAAAAAAAAAATATATATATATATAGAGAGAGAGAGAGAGAGAGAGAGAGAGAGAGAGAAGCTGAGCATGTGGTTTTCCCAAAGAATGTTACCATAAGACAAAGTACTTTATGAATGAGTTCTATGGTTTCTCTGTTTAAGTTCTGTGTTGTACCATCCAGTGGGCTCAGTAATTTGAACCTGACATTGGATCTAATAAATGATCTACAAATAATTTAATTAACAATAGCTAAAACTTTTCAGAAACAGATCTTGGTAAGTTGTAAAATTCCAAAGGAAACCCTAAATTGTGCATGGACTATTACTGATTTTAAATTTATTCCAGAAAAAAAGGAGTCATTTTTATCACTAGTCTTAGTTTAACACATTTTGCACTTGTTTTCCAAGCTCAATATGCTCAATAATGCAGTTTCATTCATTTTGTAAGAGTATTTCAATTTGTTCAAATGTTTAATATTATTACGTTTCTATGGAAATTTGCAGTTTTCAAGAAGTCTCATATACATTAGTCACTGACTCTCCCTTGAACTCTGTGGGGTAGGAAATGGAGGCTTTAACTGTTTTCACATTATAGACACGGAAACTGAGATCCAGAGAGTAGGTCACTTTTTGATGGACCCTCTCCTGAGCAGCTATCTTTCCTGGATTCTCCCCATTAACCTTTCCATACTCTGCCAGTATGGTGTGCCTTGTCCACCCATTTTATCCACCATTTTCTAGCAGCATGTCCTTGGACAAGACACTATGTCTCTCTAGGCCTCAATGCACTCATTTGTCAAATGAGGACACAGATAAAATGTGATCATCAGATGAGATCATCAGGCTATTGTGATTCATGGAGTTGATACACAGAGCTAGGAACATAACAAGTGTTCAATTAATGATAGCTATTTTTACTATTATATCATCATTGTTAATGTTAGTATGCTGCTTGGTCATGGCCAGCTCAGCCCCTCAAAGTGAGCACTCCAAAACTCAAAACAGGCAAATATGCAGTGCAGATCTTGCTCAGCTTCTTGCCTGGGAAGCAGCAACAACCCTGGTGACCCCAGACCATTATAAACTATTGATTGCTTTCTCCCAGTTTCAAAGGGTATCAGCTCCTGAAGTTAAGCAGTGACTATAGCATTGCCTGCTCCTCTTTGCTTTTGAGAACCATCCTTATTACCCTTAAATGGCTTTGGCAGTCACTAGCTGCACTCTGTTGGGACACATTCTGCTGGGTATAGCTTAGGGAAGTGTGGTAGGGAGGTTTCACACTAGTGGATGAATTAGAGGCTCTGGCAGACCGGGCCCTGCTCAAGAGATATATGCTTGGGAGGGCTGCCTGTATCTCTGGGTCCATGAAGGAAGGCAGCAAAGGGCTTCCAGGGGCGACAATCATGAGGTGAACAAATTACTGACCAGTCTGGATGGACAGCCAGGAGGGAATCTGTAAGAGACTGTCTACCACATTCTGTGTCTTATTAGGCTATTCTTGCATCTTTTTTGTCCCCTGGCCTCTGTGCATATGACAATTTGGTCCACACACAATCAGCATTCTCCCCAGTGACTTAAGAATCTAATAGCTTATTTTATGTACTGCTCCCAGCCCCCACCTGGCTTCATGTCCAAAATGCCAATGGCCACTGGGCAGTAATGTCCCCCTGCTCTACAGAGGCGCCTCTGGCAAATTCCATCAACATTCTGCTGCCTCTTTCTCAGGGTCTACCGCCAGGCTCTCATTGCTTCAGTCCTGGGGGTTGTGAATCATCCTGTGGTCCCCTCGGCAGCCCTGTCACACCGCCTCCTCAGCCCAGGGGGAACCCCAGGCAGAATTGCTGAGGCGACCACCCCAGAACAATTGACAATTGTTGGGAGTGTGGTTTTTCAATTTCAGTTTGGGAGAGAAAATTGATTTCCAAATACTTAGGTTCATTGTGTTGCTGAGACCTGGAGCTGAATAACGACATTCATAGCTGAGATTGCTGGTTTTCAGGTTCCTACTGGGAGGTACATTGCCCTGATGACCTCAGAGCCCCAGTGTTTGCTTGACTCTCAATGCTTCCATGAGCTCCGACTCCAGTCCCAAGATAGAAATAAGGGACACAGAGAATGATTTTGTCCTCCTGCTGCTGCAGAAACTTTAGATGCTAACCAGAAAGAGATTTCCCAGATCCCCAAGTTGGTCCAGAAACTTTACTGAATTCCTGTCATGCGTCGAGTGCTGTATTATTGGGTGTTAATGGGAAAATATAAAATCATCAAGTATCAAGTTCCTGTCTAAAGATTTAATAATCAAATTGGAGATGAGGCAGGCATAGGCTAAAGAACACCCGTCTAACCCACTGACAAGTGGCAGTTGATGTTGTACACAATGAATACACGCATAGAGAAAGAAAGACAAGACTGGTTTTGAAAAGGGGAGAATGTAGATTGAAAAAGAGGAAAGAGATCAGGAGAGAGGGCAGGCCTAGATCATAAACCTCTTGATTGGATTCGAACTATAAATTTTCTCAAGTTCTTTGTCCTGAAATAGTATGTCATCTTTTTCTTTCTAATAACCTAGCCCATTTCATAAGTGTGTGTGCTCTCTGTGAAGGAAGGTTCTAATTATCCAAGGGCCAGTGGAGAGTTAAAATGCCTTTTCCCAGAGGTCAGAATGGTAGACGAATGCAGGGAACAAGGCCACCTGCACCTACCTGGTCCTGGGATCCTGCTGAAGGGCACCACCAAGGAGCAGCAGGCAGGCTTGCAATTAGCTCACATAATGCTCAGGCTTGCAAGATACAAAGAGGGTACCCAAGGGTTCTGAGACCCTCTCGAGCTCCGTGGCAGAGGCTGATCCATCTGGGGGAACCCCAGGCAGAGCTGGGACCGTAAGCTCCAGGAAGGTGGGCTCACTTTTACATTGTTAATGGTGCCTCTACTGTATGGTTCAATAATGGCTCATATCTCCTCTCGTGTCTGACAGGCTGAAGTGTGTGCTGGAACCGTGGCAGAGGTGATCCAGTCTGTGGTCAACGGGGCGGATGGCTGCGTGTTCTGTTTCGGCCATGCCAAGTTGGGTTAGTGAGAGCTTTTACTTTATGCTGCTCATTGGGTACCTCAGTCTATGCTTGTGTATTAGTCCCATAGTCCCAGATGAAAGGAAAGGTCAAATTTCTCTAAGGTGCTGAGAGAACAATTACTTCTGCCTTTGAAATGTAGGTACTTGTAAGTGGACACCCATTCCTGTAGGGCAGCTGTCAAGCTCAGGAAAGAAACAAGGGAATAGCAGTGGTCCAGGTCAGGGTCAAGCTAAGAAAGCAAGCACAAAAATGTACATTTCCTGAGAGGAGGCTCCTTGGGAAGCAGATGGACCCCCTGCTCCCCTGCCAAGATGATTGGTGTTGGTAGATGGAACCAATGGAACAGCCAGATTAACAACCTCTAAGCAAAGTCAAGTGTCATGTTAGGATCTGTCTGGGAACATCAGACAAAGCCATCCTTGTTTCCCAGCAACCAGACACTATCAGGAATCCTCTTGTGCTGAAGCATTTGGAAAAGGATGCAGTGAGACATACCCCCAAGGGTTTTATTGAATCCTTCCACTGTCCCTTCTTAATACTAACCCGTGGCCCTCTATCTGCTCTCTAGACCTTGCATTACATGCCTGATAAATTAGTAATTTGGGGAGTCCCAAAAAAGTGTCCCTAGGCAGAGATTGCATCAGAGACCTTGCAGAAGGCTTGAAACTCAGTTCTTGGCCAGGACAGAAAGCCTATCGCATCTCTGCCACTTCTGTCTTCCCTGGACCTTCCTCTCATTTGATCTTGGATCAAAGCAGGACTCCAGGTTTTAATGGAATTTGCTCATGCTGTAAAAATATACACAGCATTTAACTTGAGAAAGGATGTAAAGTATACGTGGATTTGATCTGTGGGGTAGATGTAAAGTGAACCATAATAGTGATGAAATGTCCCTCCCTTCCCACTATATGTAAAACAATGCAGAAACTGGATAGTCTGTGATAAGTGTGATCCTCTTCAAGGTGCACTGTGATTTCATCTTGTCATTTGTTTGGGCTCTCACATTCTGTATTATAGCCATTTCATTGCTAGTACTAGGAACTGCTTTTTTTTTTTATTTGTCATCAAATGCACACTATTTTTCTTACCTTCTAATTCCCTTCCTTCCCTTCCACTCACTCCCCCATGCCTGCCTTCTGTATCCTTAGCATCTGTTTTTGAGATTCTGTAGCATGATGCCAACAATCAGCCTGCTCTTCTCCCTTTCCTTGCTCCCACAGGAAAATCCTATACCATGATTGGGAAGGACGATTCCATGCAGAACCTTGGCATCATTCCCTGTGCCATCTCTTGGCTCTTTAAGCTCATCAATGAACGGAAAGAAAAGACGGGAGCCCGTTTCTCTGTTCGGATCTCAGCCGTAGAGGTGTGGGGGAAAGAAGAGAACCTGCGGGACCTTCTATCTGAGGTGGCCACTGGCAGCCTGCAGGATGGCCAGTCCCCGGGCGTATACCTCTGCGAAGACCCCATCTGTGGCACACAGGTGATTGCTTCTGGAAGTTTGGCTTGCCCTGAGGTGGCTCATCCCTACCTCAGAGGCTGGGGCAGTTGAGCCGTGAATCACTCACCATGTAAACTAGGAAGCTTACAAGTGTTTACTTTAAAGTGGACTGGAACTTTATGGCCTGCAGCTGTGGGGCCATCTGCTTACCCAACCTAAATATTTGTACCTTGAATCTAATTGACAATGAGCAGGAACCACAATTGTCGTAGCATTTGAGGGAAAATTGAATTCACTTTCTTTATGTTCCTTTCCAAAAAAGAAAAGTACAATCTTTCTTTTGTTTAACAACAAACCGAAATATTTACTGCTCTGCACAAATAGCTGCAGCCATTACTGGGGCTGTTTATGGCCCTATAAACTGTGTTTCTGGCACTGGTTTACAGCCGGATTAGCAGTGCTGTAGGAAAAACTAATAACCACTTTCTAATTAGAACCATGATATAATTGCTAGAATGAAGGAAGCCAAGAGAAGATCCAGTTTGCCTTTTCAGGATGTCACGCCTTGTTATAAGGATCTCTCTCCTTGCTCTTTGACAATAGATGTAGGAATGACTCAGGAGCTCCCTGGTTCATATCCAGAACAATCACTTTGGCCTCCTGCAGTAGGCTTTGTTTTCAAGGTTTACCAGATGTCTCTCTCTTTCTTTCTCCCTGCCCCCTCTCTCACTATTTTTTTTTTTTTAATTAGCTGAGGTGTTCCTTTTAATAAGTACCTGATTCATCCCAGCTGGGACTGTTTGCACAGGTGAAGGTGCCTGTGCCTCTGTTACACCCTTATACCCAAACTTGTCCATGCTCAATCTCTGCTTAAAATATCCTAGATCTTCCATTTCCTTTTTGAATCCTCTCAAGCCTACATCAGTCACCTGGAGGACTTTTTGAAACATAGTTGCTCAGCTCCACCCCAGAGTTACTGACTCTGTGGGTCTGAGGTAGAACCACCTGAAAGCACATCTCTAACAAATTTATCTGTGATGTTGCTGCTGCCTGTCCAGACACCACACTTTGAGAACAACTATTCTGAAGCATAAAACATGCTCAGGTACTTGCTGGTCCCCATACAAGTCACACAAATGTGTCTTGATTGCCATCCATGTTTTTTTTGTTTTATTTTGTTTGTTTTGTTGCAGTACAGGGGATGAAACCCAGGGGTGCTCTATCACAAAGTTACATCTCCAGCATTTTTCTCTTTTACTTTGAGATAGGGTCTCACCAAGTTGCTCAGGCTGGCCTCAACCTTGCCATCCTCCTGCCTTGTCTTCCTGAGTAGCTGAGATAATAGGTGTGTGCCACCCCATCTGGCTCTGTTCACTTTTATGAGTCCATTGATGAAGGCCACTTAAGTGAAAGATCTGATTAACTGAAGGCAAACAAGGCCAATATCCTCCCTTATTTTAAATACATTCCCCTTGTGGAAAACATGTTTTTAATACTTCCGTTTACTTTTCTATGACAAGTACAAAACCACAAATAGAATACAAACTCTCTTTGAAGTTCAAGGATTTTGCTGACCTTAAGTTCCAAATATTGGCTTTCACACTTCAAAACTATAGGTATAGACTCAGAGTAGGAAATTGTCAGTATTTCTTCTAACCTTAAGATATACTGCAAATTAGTTCTTTGAACAAATCAGAAATAGGAGTTTCTTTTTCTCCCACAAAAAAAGAGGAATGCTGATCAAAATCTGATAATAGGATTGTTCTGATTCAGGCTTACTATAATTGCCATGAGTTCTCATAGGATTTAGACATGTTGCACACTATGCTTTCTCTAATCGATTACTGATTATGCCACAAACATGAGTTCAGTAACTAAAGGTGAAATTAGATAGCTCTTGAATACAGATGAGACCTTCAAGTATCTTGGGTGTTTCAGCATGCCTTTGATAAGTACTTCTTATTCATAACTATACTGGTAAGTGTGGCCTAAAATTAGCTTTCATTAAATAACTGAAAAAAATAGGCATCAACTGAAAGCTAACTAAGTTTTATACTTCCTTGGGACACCAGTGCTTGTCAGACCTAAAATCACATTTTGCAAACTCCCTGTCTCCAAACAATCTAATCTCTGAGATCAACATGCAGTCACATCCCTCCTGTTTTCTTAGGTAAATGGATAGCCCTGGGTTATTGGTTTGCTGTCCTCTGCAGCGATAAGGATGGGTCATCTGCTCCCATTGATGACTCAGATACATCCTTTGCTTTTCACACCTGCGACTTACAGATACTACTTAGGGTGTAAAATAGGTAAAAACAAGTTGCATCCACTAAGTGTGCTCAATATTAATTTGCAGAAATAAATTAATTAAACTGAGAATTGCACAAGAATACCGGGCCTAGTTCCGGAATGACTTTTGACCTTCGAGAGGGATGTGGCTTTACTAGGTACAGTGGACAGCAACTGAATGGAGCAGTTAACACCCAGGCATGAGGGACAGGCAAGCCCTCCATCAGCTTGCAGCCCCAGCTCTTGGCTTTGTGTCTTCTAGCTGCAGAACCAGAGTGAGCTGAGGGCCCCCACTGCAGAGAAGGCGGCTTTCTTCCTGGATGCTGCCATTGCTTCCCGTCGGAGCAATCAGCAGGACTGCGATGAAGATGACCACCGCAACTCCCACATGCTCTTCACCCTGCACATCTACCAGTACCGGATGGAGAAGAGCGGGAAAGGCGGAAGTAAGTGCCTGTCTCCCTCCCGCCCCTCCTCATCAGCTCTCACACCAGCAGACACCTTCCTCCAGGGCCATCATGACCTTTTCTTTTTTTTTTAATTAAAAAAAATTTTTTAGTTGTAGATGGACACAGTACCTTTATTCTATTTATTTATTTTTATATATGGTACTGAGGATCAAACCCAATGCCTCACTGTGCTAGGCAAGCACTCTACCACTGAGCCACAACCCCAGCCCCCATGACCTTTTCTTAATAGAATGACACCAACATGGAGTGATTTGTAATTCAGGATAATTGTAGAGTCTGGGCTGAAGTTCACTTTTGAATTGTCCAGGGGCAAAAAGGTTTGCTTTGCTAAAGATAATTTACCAATGTGATTGCCATGGGCATGTAAAAGAAGAAACTTAAGCACAACAACTGCTTGCTGAATAGTATCTTTCTGTTTATAAAACTGAAGGTGCTCATCACAAAAGGCCAACATTTGGCCACCAGCACACCCTGGCAATATGCCATTCATTGTTAACTTGAGTCTACTCCATGGATTTAAATAGTCTGTAAATCAGACTTTGGAATAACTAACCAGACAGTGGTTGCCTCCCTCAGGCAGGATCCCATCAGTAACGTTTCATTGTAAAAACACAGCTATTCTGCTAGGACCCCAATGCTGTGGTTCCCAGTCCCTTCATGGCTACTTTGTCAAAGCTGGCACTTGGTTTTGGTGTATTTCTCCGTCCTTGCCCTTCAGTGGCATCTACTTGAAGTTCACCAGATTTGAGTGCCAGGGTTCAAATGAGTGTCATAGTGGAAGAAGGTGGGAGATCTTGGACCACAGGCAAAGTGGTCCCTTGACCTCACTGGGTTTCCTAAAACAAGTTGTGAGTTGGGCATGGTGGTACACTCTTGTAATCCCAGTGACTGAGGAGTCTGAGGCAAGAGGATCACAAGTTCAAAGCTAGCCTCAGCCATTTAGCAGGGCCTTAAGAAACTTATTGAGACCCTGTCTCAAAATTGAAAAATAAAAAGAACTGGAGATGTAGCTCAATGGAAAAGCACTCCTGGGTTAAATCTTCAGTACCCTCCCCCCCAAAACAAACAAACAAAAACAAATTATGGGCCACGAGGCTTGGCCCAGCCAGACAGCGGTTTCCTTATCAGTCTACCATTGATAAGGAAACACTACCAACTGGCTCTTAGTGTTCCCTGATTGATTGTCCCAAGGACACTGGATGCCAGAAAAGCAAACAAACAAAAGAAACCTCTTAAATTCAGAAAATAATCCTAGCCTGGAAATTATAAATAAAATTGACTAAAACAGAGGCAATCAACACATCTATTCTAGATGAAACTTGGAATTAAGGTATCCAACAGGGATCTGTGGAGAGGGTCCTTGATTTCTCCCCAGGTCTTCTTGTTGCCTGAAAGATATGAAAACCAGTAGTCCTGGAGCCACTATTGCCCCCTCTCCCCGCATCTCAGTGTCTCCACTGACCCGTCCGTGTTCTGCCACTATCCCTACTCCTTGGCTCTTATTTTTAAAATTAAGGTTTACTGAGGTATAATTTATATATAGTGAAACTTACCCTTTTTATGTGTCTTGAGTTGAGTTTTGGCAAATATGTAACCACAACCAGTACCAAAATACAAAAGAATGCCACGTCAAGTTCCCGCTTTCTCTTTGTAGTCAGCTCCTTGCCCCTGTCTCAGTCTCCTGGCAACCACTGACTTGGACTTTCATGTTTGTAGTTTGGTTTTTATCAATAATAGCATATGAATGGAATCATGTGACCCATAACGTGGCCTTTTGTGCCTGAGATACATCTGTGTTGCTGCATGAATCAGGTGATCACTTATCTTCCTTGCTGTCTGCTTCTTTAACTGGTTTAGAGATTTGTCCTCTGTACCCATCCCCAGGAATAAATGAAACTACCCTCACCCAGGGCTGGAGTTCCACTAACCAAGGTTACCCTTTATAGCTCTGAAAATCAACCTTGAGCTATTGCTGCCCAAGGGGTCCAGAGATATTGGCTCTGATTTGCAGTGCATTGGGCACCCCAGGAAGGTGGGCTGTTAGCAGAAGACCAGACTTCTCTTGACAGCTCAGAAAGATGAGAAGGATTTGACTGGGACAGAGCAGAATATGCTGAGGGGGACTCTTTCAGGAAAGATGAGTTCAGTTTCAGAGCACTTAACATTTGTAAGGAAGGAAACAAGGGATTAGGAGAAGGGTAAGAAGATCTAGACCTTGGAAATCCACCACAAAATTGAATGCACGTTTCTCCTAACAATCTGGGAACTGGTTTTACATCCTGCCTTCACTGTTATTTCTGGTTAATGTCTTAGCAGAGTGAATGTGAGAGTCTGAAAAATGTTTATTTCTTCAAAGTAGCTGTCAAAAATAATAAAAATAATAATAGCCTGCTGTGGGTTCTTGTGTTTTCAGCAAAGAATATCTGAATCTCTTTGGGAGCCAATAGCTCCCAAATGCACCGAGCAGAAAATCCTAGAGGGAGGGACAACCCCCGCTCTTCTATGTTGCACACCAAACTGGGGATGGGGGGATGGCTCTGTTTTCAGTTTTTCACTTTTTAATTTTTTTGTTCTGCTTTCAATTTGGAATCTGAGAGTAGGGGAAAATATTGTGAAACAATGAAACAGTTAAAATATCTCAAGTGTAAGGTCCTGAAATTCAGTTTCCACAAAGCTTTGGTGGAAGAAGTTTCCTAAATCGAAAGTGCCTCTCCAAATTGGTACCTAGCAAACCTAGGCATTTATTAAATATTTAACATGAAATTCATCTTCTTCCTAATTTTAAATTGTGAGAAGAATTGCTTTTAAATAATAAATTCAGGTTAAAGGAAAAGGCAAATACCATTAATGGCTTCCAAAAACCTCTTTTAGGTACTTTCTAAAGTTGCAATAGAGGAGAATCGAGAAGGGGCAAGAGTCCAGGCTGCTGGGGGTTATGCCTCAGAAGAATCTGGGGTTCACCTCCTACCTGCCAGAGCATCCAGCTCCTCCAGAGGGAAGGGATCTGGGCCACAAAACCTACAGCCTCTCAGCCCACAGCTCGCTTAACTTTATTAAATATGCACGTTTAAAATATAATGAAAAGATTTGAAGTGTTGTTTAAAATGGAAATTTTGTTTACTTATATATAAGCAATAATCCCTGTGGACTTGGCAGGCAAAACTCAATTAAGAGAAAGTTTATTAATTAGTCACCCTGCAGGGAAGCAGGAAGCAGAGCTCGCTCGCTTCTGCTATTAACCAGGCCGTTAGAATATCAGAGACCTGTGCTGCAAGAAGAGAAGACACCCTGTGATTATATGTACCTGAATCTTATACACATATAAGTAGAGAGACAAATGTTTTACACATTTCCAGTCAAGATCAAATGAACATTCTTTGTTGATGTATCACTGTTTTGCAGATAGCATTCTGCTAGACTCAAAACAGCTGCCTGGTTTACAAGGTTTGGGGATCATTGGTGAAGCTGATTCTTTTTTTTTTAGAGAGAGAGAGAGAGAATTTTTTAATATTTATTTTTTAGTTTTCGGCAGACACAACATCTTTGTTTGTATGTGGTGCTGAGGATCGAACCCAGGCCGCACACATGCCAGGCGAGTGCGCTACCACTTGAGCCACATCCCCAGCCTAAAGGCTGATTCTTTAACCATCATAGAGGTCTTGCCCTTCTAAATCTGTAATGGTTTGAAAGCCTCCTTGGAAATTTGCTTTGGTCAGCTTTTCAATGCTGTGAACAAAATACCTGACAAGAACAACTTAGAAGAGGGAAAATGTGTTTGAGGCTCATGGTTTCAGAGGTCTCAGTTCATAGATGGCAAACTCCATTGCTTTGGGCCCAGGGTGAGATAGCATATCATGGGGAAGGGCCCAGAGGAGGAAAGCTGTCAGTTCATGGCAGGCTCAGGAAGCAGAGCAAGAGAAAGGGGGAGGATTCACAAGGAAGATGAACCCTTCCAGGTGACTCTCCTTCTCAGTGACCCACCTCCTCCAGCCATGTCCCACCTACCTTAGTTACCACCCAGTCAGTCCATTCACACTAGGATGAACTGAGTAGGTTACAACTCTCATAATCTGATCATTTCATCTCTGAATATTCCTGCATGGACACCGGAGCTTTGGGGGGACACCTCATACCCAAACCATAACAGAATTCAAGTATTGGGGAAGAGATCCCCTAATGATCAGACAGCTCTCCTGTTAGTAATGGGTGTTAGGCATCTAAAGCAAGATAGTACTATAATGCTTCAGAGTAATATGTCAGTGAAACACAAATTTGCCTATTGTGCTGATAAAGATGGTCTTTAAAAGCATCACTTTAATGAGTAAGCTAAGCTTGCAAGCAACTCCTGCCCAGCATCCAGAATGACATTAGGTATCTGATGTATTTTTATATTCTATTGCTCTGAGGAGGCCAATGTGGGCTGGGCTGGCTGAATGTGCACACAGAAAGGAGTGTAAGTGAATTTGGGTGTGTCTGTATCTCCACTTATCCATTTATAAGTCTGATCACACCATTTCTTTCATCTCAGTTTTCTTTTGACAACGAGCCTCTCTTTCTTTATGTGTCATGGAATGGTTTGAATCAGCATGCCCTCTCCAGGGCTGTGTGTTTGATATGACTTTAAAGACATTATTTGGTCTTCAGATGGGGAAAAGGAGTCTAGGAAAGAATCTGGCTTCCAACAGGGTCGGAGCTGGGCGTCTGCTGTCCCTAGCAGCATAGCCCTGGGCAACAAGGCCATCCCTCCACTGCAGGGCTGCCATCTCCCTCCTGGTCAATAGTGAGGTGATAGTTCTGTATGTTAAGATTTGCGTAATAGAATTTTATAAAACTTTCACTAGGAGACAATGTTCTGAACCACACGGCCTGGAATCATGGTACCCTCTCGTGGCCTTCCCATCACCCAGCAGTTCTGAATCTTCTAAGCCCCCTGTTCCTGCCAATCATTTTCAGTAGATAAGCAATGTCCTACTCCC